GTATCACTTACATAATTTATAGACTTGTAAATTATTGCCTGCTCTCACAACAGAGCAGAGCTTCTTGTCCAAACAGTGTTCATGGCTTAGAGTTGCCACAATCAAGGTTTCTTACCTGGTGTACTGTTCTGTAGATACTTACTTGATTGTGTAGATACATTTGTTCAACAAGAATAAGAACATATTTCAAAGGACAGACCCACTGAAGCTTTGAGGTGTCCCAGCTACTCATCCATCTTGAATAAGATTTAAAAAGTCAAAACCATTTTTTTAAAAAAATAGCATTCCTGAAATCTGACTCATTGATATGTTGTTACCAGCAATGTATACTTAAGCAATGAGAACCCTAAGGCATTATTCCACCGCTAGGTACTTCATTAAATAAATAAAATTATACTTGAAGCCTAGTGATTATCCAGGCTTAAGTAGCACGAATCTATCTTTGCTGTCTTTTAATAGGATATATATAGTGTGAAAATGTTTCATTTTAACCTGTACAAAAAAGGAGAAACCTCTGAATAAAGAAGAAAATGTGTGAGGCACATAATTGCAGCGCATATACACGAACAGTATAAAAGAATTGTTTAAATGTTGTGCATTACCATTTGTGTCTTTATACAATTTCTGTTTTCATGTACATGTGTTGCAATCGTTGATTGGCCCATAAATATTTTTAACCTCTGGTGTCTCACACATTTCCCCCCCTTCATTTGAACCTGTAGACAAAAATAAAGAGGCATCAGTTTTCCAACAAGCAAGCTAATTATGAATGATTTCTGCAGCACTTTTGAGCATGCAAAAACATTCCACACTCCCTTAACACAAAGAGGTACATTAGGCAGAGAAATAGATACTTACATAAGCCTGCAAGTTGAGCAGTTTCTGAACTGGGGATTTTTTATATCCAAGCCTAACAATCTGTTGCTGTACTACAGAAGTATCAGTATAACATTCACAAAGCACCCCTGCAGTGCAGCCCCCATTAATTGGACTGGGGTTTGTGAGGGAGCCATATTTATAGCTGTCACAGAGACCCCTTGTCCCAGTAACAACAACTCTTATTTTGAACCGCTTTGGACATGATGTGAATGCACAGGGAGCAGAAACCACAAATGTTTCTTGTTCTTCCATGTCTTGGGAGGGGCTGTGGGTCAGGGAGGGGCTGTGGGTCAGTGGTAGAGCATCTGCTTGGCATCCAGAAGGTCCCAAATTCAGTCCCTGGCAATCTCCAGTTTAAAGGACCAGCCAGTGGGTGATGCGAAAGACCTCTGCCTGAGATGCTGGAGAGCTGCTGCCAGTCCGAGTGGACCACACTGACCTTGATGGACCAAAGGTTAGATTCAGTATAAAACAGCTTTATGTGTGGAGGATATGCAAAACTTTAGGAATTGATAAATATAGGGAGGAACAGGATACATGAGGCATTTGCTATTTCAATCCCTTCCATTATTGGTTTGGTGTGGTGGTTAGGAGCACGGACTCTAATCTGGGAGAAACGGGTTTGATTCCCCACTCCTCCACATGCAGCTGCTGGTGTGACCTTGCATCAGTCATAAATTCTTTCAGGGCTGTTCTCTCAAGGGCAGTTCTCAAGAGAGCTCTCTCAGCCCCACCTATCTCACAGGGTGTCTGTTGTGGGGAGGGGAAGGGAAAGGGATTGTAAACTGCTCTGAGACACCCGTGGGTAGTGAAGTGCGGGGTATAAATCCAGTCTCTTCTTCTTCTCTTCATCGTGTCATGCAGCCTTAGAGATGCAAAAGTGCATCACTGATCAGCATGTGAACCCAGACTTTCCTTATTCAAATTCACTGTGCTGCTGATGGGCCAATCACAGATGAAAGAATGCTTACCTGTCCCAAGCCTAGGGCCAGCTAGGGCAGGCACAGGATAAGGGTGAGAAAGGGGTCCTGGGAGGACAGGTTTATATTTGTTGGTCAGTAGATATTTTTTTAGGGGAAGCTGAAGCTGTACAACAGAGATGAGCTCCATTTGAACTCAAAGGGAACCAGGCTGTTGGTGCTTAATATCAAAAAAGTGGCAGAGCAGCTTTAAAACTAACTGTTGGAGGAAAGACGAAAGGTGCTGGGGAGCCTCCAGTTCAGGATGAATCATCCCTAAAGGATGATGTGGTAGAAGCAGGGGTCATTTGGGGGGGGGACGCGGGGGGACGCCATCCCCCCGGGTGAGGTGCGGGAGGGCGGGGCCTGGAGCTCCCTGCTGGTGCCCGCTGGAGGTCGCCGCCGGCTGTGGGGAGGACACACTTCCGGTGATGTCAGGGGGTGTGGCATATGCTAATGAGTTATGCTAATGAGTCCCCCTAGCTCTTTTTCTACGAAATGACCCCTGGGTAGAAGATTAGGGGTAAACTAGGTACGAATGGGCTACAACTTGAGATTGAGAAGAGAGCAGTAAAGGATGGCCATGGGAGGAGATCAAAGAAGGCAACAAGATACAGATGACTATATACCAGTGCTAGAGGCCTCCTAGTTAAGATGGGTGAGCTGGGGTGCTTGTGCTAAATGCCAACACAGATATAGTGGGTGTTTCAGATACCTGGAGGAATGAGGAAAATCAATGGGACACTATTATCCCTGGATATCAATATATCTAATACTCCATCCATAGAGACTTAAATCTAGAGATAGGTACATGGACTGGAGAGACAGATCTTTCTACTGTTCTCAGAGTAATTAACATAGACCCCTGCCACACCGCAGGGGAAATGCCTCTTAAGGCGCGGCTTTTAAAAGCCGCACCAACGTTGAGACGCCGCGGCGGGATCCCACGGATCCCCTGGCCGCGGCGCCTTTTCTCCCCGGTGCGATCAAACGCCGGGGAGAAAATACGGCCCTAACCGGGAGCCGGACGAACTGCGCATGTCGGAGCATGCGCAGTTCGGCTCTGGGCCGGGGTTGTGCCGGCGCAAGGACGCGCCGGCGATCAAACGCCCGGTTTGCCCCGCAGCTACAGGATGAACCACCAAGGTAGGTGGTTCACTTTGCAGCGGCTTTTCCCGGGAATGGGCCAGATCGGGTACGGAAGCAGGACGCTTCCCAGATGTTGTGGTGTGATCGCGCCGGTTTGATCCGGCCCCGAACTGGCCCGCTCCCGGACCAAATCGCCGCGTGTGAACGGGACCATAGTATAGGTGCACAACCAGTCTAAGGTGTAGATAAAGGCTTATTTAGGAACTGACATACTAGAGAGTAAAGAAGAAAGACAGATATAGCTTCCTAACTACATCTCTAGCTGAGAGAGAGAGAAGGCTAAGTGTGGCACTTTCGAGAAGGAGGAAAGTGCCCTGAGAGGAGTAATCTGGGGACAGACAAGGAATGACACTTAAAAGGAGAGAAGGTAGTGACCTCACTGTCCTATCTACTTGTCTTCTTGCTGCCTCCTGCGGTGTCTTTGTCTCTTCTTCTTTGTACATTGGACATTGCCTTTTCCAACATCTACAAACATGAGGAAAGCCCCAGATTTAAAGAAAAATTGGAAATAATAATGATGATGATGGTGGTGGTGGTGGTGGTGGTAGTGGTGATGACAATGATGATGGGGGGTTAAAATCCTCCAATGGTGACTGAAGGCATTCATTTCTTGAAGCTACAGGTGCTGCTATTATTTGTGGGTTTTAAACTCCCAGTTCATTTAAAAAAAATTATTTTCTTTTTGCAAACCCTGGGTGTTTTTCACATTTATATAATGATCTGCCTTGTGTGTTCATGGCTCCAATCTCCAGATTTAAGCATCCACAGATTTGGCCATGATTGGGATTAGATCTACTGATACTTCCAGTGTACGTGTAAAAAAACCATTGCAGCAAAAATAAGCAGATATTTTGTGTGGCATTTTAAATATTGATCAACATTTTGAGGACTAAAGCCCCCTCCACACAATGCAGCTGATGATGTGAGCTCTAATCAATGAAAGTTTATGCTAGAATAAAAACTTGTTCAGTCTTCCAAGTTCCAGAACACTCCTGGTTAGAGTTTATACTGATATTTATCCAGCACTAAGGGCACACTAGACATGGCACTGGCACTTCTGTTTTTATTTCACTGTATTACTTCTTTTATATTTCAACTTTTTTGTTGGGGTTTAAGATAGATTACACATTTTTTAAAAAAAGTAATTAAATCAGTATAATGCATACACATAATTCTCAATTGTGTAAAAGGGAGGAGTTTGGGGAGGATCCAGTTTTAATGACAAAGGGATTACACATGTAAGGGCAACAATGACTTATCTCCCCACAGACCCTTTCCCTGAATTCTCTTTTGCATTGCTGAGGTAACTTCTGGCATCAAAGGTGAAAGACACAATGGAGAAGTAGGCTATTCTGTAAGATGGCTCTCTGCTGACTCACTAAAGTTGTCAACCTCCAGGTGGGGCCTGGAGATCTCCCAGAATTGCAACTAATCTCCAGATTTCACAGAGCAGTTCCCCTGGAGAAAATGGCTGCTCTGGAGGGTGGACTTTATGGAGTTTATGGCATTGTACCAACTGAGGTCCCTTCTCTCCCCACACTCTATGGTCCCCAGGCTTCACCCCCAAATCTCCAGGAACTCCCCAACCCAGAGTCGGCAATCTTATCACTACCCCCCCATTTCAAATTGGACCCAACCCTTCAATGTGATTCAGGAATTTCTGAAAACACACAGAACTATGTATGTCACATATACTGTTAGCCACATGTGGCCCCCATCTGGGGATAGCTAAATCCATGGATTCGGGCTACACAGAGGCTATAGAGATTTTTCAGCAAACTCGGCGTACCTGCCAAACTTGCAGAAAAATCTGAAATGTTTAAATTCTCCCCAAAGTAAATTTAAAAAATGAAAAATGTAAAAAGCTCCCATTTGCTTGTGTGGAGCCTGGGAGCTTCATTGGAGCCCAGCAGCAGCTACATTGGAGTCCTGGAGCAGCAGTGGATGTCGGGAGACGCTCAGGGCCTAGCCTCAGAGGCAGTGGATACCAGGAGCCACTTGGGGCTGGCTGCCATGGCGGCAGATGCAGGGAGCTGCTTGGGGCCTGGCCACCGTAGCTATGGACACTGGGAGCCTGGCTATGGACACCTGGGGTCTGGCTGCCGCAGCTGTGCATTATGGGACCTTGGAGACACTGCCATGGCAAAGCCCCGCCCCCGAGGTGAGTGATTGGGCCTGGATGTGCTGGCCCAGCAATGGTGGGGGATGGGGTTCCTCCTTTGAGTTTCCCACGCACACGCACACACACACACACACACACACACCCTGGTGTAATTCTATTTTATAGTTTTATAATGTTCTGCTTTTAATTGTCAGCTGCCTTGCTGGCTCTGTTTGGGCAGAAAGGCAGAATATAAATTCTGTAAATAAATAAAATAAAGGGGAGCAATTCCTGAATGGAAGATGACCCCCCACACACACACACAAATAAATGTTACACGCAAAAGATTTTTAAAATTATTGCAACTTGTCTAGTTTGACCCTCAGACTGAGAAATCTGTTACGGTACTTAGCCACTGGGTGTCACCCTTGATTCAGATTTGGATAAATCTTTAGGAAGCTCTGAGAAACTTCATATCATTGTCTCCAATTGTTTATGTTATTTTAAGAGCAATCTAATTTAAATAAATGTGTTTCTATTATGTATGGAAGTTCTTAAAAATTATATTACTAAGGTCTGTTGAGCTCTGTAGTGGTAAACTGTGGAAGGCAGACTTTGAAGATCAGACACTTAGGTGTATATGCTTGGCTGAGAAACCAATAGCTTAGAGCGTGTATATATATTTTATGGGTTATTTATTTATTTACATTATTTATAGTCCATCTGTCTCACTGAGACTCAAACTAGGTTACAGAGTGTAAGTCAGTGCAATCAATAGGATGAGACATCCAATGAGCAATGTAATAAGATTAGAGTGTGGAAGTTAAAATCAAGTTTAAAAACCTGGTACAAGGCTGAAACAAAGCATGACATTAAACAAGGCACATTAAACGATACAGAAATTACATACGTAATACATACAGCAACAGATTGTACACACTATACACAGGTAGTATAGTCCACAGTCTCTTTCCCCTTATTAAAGCATTCTTTAGAAATCAATTCTGTTTATAGTAAAGCCCTATTATCTTTGTAAAAATGCCCTCCTCAATAATTCAGTTTTGCATAGTTTGCAAAGTGCCAGAACTCAGGAGCATGGAAGCCCCCTAACATAACAACATAACAATGCTGGAGCACATTGGATCCAGTTGACCCCCATAATTTGATCATTTAACACTTTGTAAGAACTGTCCTTCAAAATGGAACACAGATGGCATGCCTCACCCATAACACACTGCAACTGGGACCTCTTAATTACAGGGCAATACTATGCAGAGTTGCACCTTTCTAAGTAAATTGACTTATGGTTGTGGGTAGTGGGGGGGGGGAGAAACTGTGGGTTACTCCTGAGTAGTCCCAGCCTTGGCGGTAGTGATGGCTGGGAACTTTTTCCTCAGTCATTGGTAGATTATTTGACTGCAGCTTGTATATAGCAGAGCCACTTTCTTGCTGTGATTTACTGAAAATCAGGCCTAGATAGAAATATGTCAACAGAGGGCTTTCTTTTAAAAAAATGCTTTAAAAAACATTCCTGTTATGTAGGGTTGCCAGATCCCCTCGCTGCGCCGGGGGTGGTGGTGGGATTTACGGGGCATTCTGGGACATTCCCTACGTCATCATGTTGGGGGATGTCATGTGGTGACACTCTGGGTTTTGGGCAAAACTCTATGGTAAAACTGGCTTCAAATCACTGAGCTTTGTGCTCTGCATCGGCCCAATGTGGTGATGTCACTTCCAGGTGATATCATTGCGTCAGGGATGTCACATAGTGATATCACTGTTTGGGGGCACGGTTTCCCCCAAAACTGGGGGATGTCAGAAAAGAAGGGTTTTAAACTTCCTGGATTCTTATAGAAAGGCATTTCGCCCAGTGTGTGTGGGCATTCAGACATACAGTTCACTAGTTTTAGCCTAGAATGGTAACTGCTTTCACACATGATTAATGTTCTGGTTTACTTAGACTGAGTCTTTAGGAGGTTCTGAGGCCAGAACATGGTGTAATGGGGCACTTTCTTGCAGTGAAAGTGACATCAAGTACCTCTAAGAATGGCTGGAATCTCTATGTTTTTATCATAGAGTTTCTGGCAATACCTAGGGCAATGTGATATCACTTCCAGGGTCCCTGGAAATGATGTTATGGTGCACACAACACCATGTTTCCAACCCCCCAAATTCCAACCAGTTGCCATGGAGTAGTGATGAGAGTGCTCTGGCTTGGCCTGGCAACCCTAATTATGGGAGCTAAGTTGATGTGACTCATATCACAATATCTCGCTATCAAAATGTGTATTTGCTATTGCCATCTAAGTTTCCAATTGCTAATATATCTGAGCAGAAGTGATTCAGAGATGGCAGGAATTCAGATTAGCCAGGCTGCATTAGATGTACATACCTGATTCCCTTCAAAAGTGCCTCAACAAGTTATCCAGCCTCTTCAGCATAATGGTGAGCCTGTGGGCCTATGATTTCTTTGGACTTGTAATCCTTTAATTAAACTTTCAATCTATTCCCATGCAGCCATTCTTCTCCATTATCCCACTGTATCATTAGGTAACAACAAATGCCTTTTGTTGACAAGGAGATTTTTCTGTTGGAATTAAGTATCGCAAGAAGCTCATGTGCCGGGTGACTTTTATAGACTGGGAAGTGAAGTGCAGAGATTATAGGCTGCAGAAGAATGGAGATAAATCTATTCCTGTGCTTTATGCTTGGACCAAAATGCCATCCTTTCCTATTTTATAGATAGGGGGAAAGGTGGGAGGGTTCTTTTTATTTATTCAAATTTTTATTTTTCTTTGACAAAGGAATCAGAGCAGATTCCACATTCCTTAAAATGCTTTTTAAAAACCTCCGTTCTTTAGCTTTGTATTTATTTAAATATCCATCACATATAAGAAGCCGTATGAGAGAATTATTCAGGGCCCCCCAAATTACATGTGAACTGAGCAGTTCCCAACATTTATTTATCATTTTCAGCTGAACACATGCCACTGATGTGCCAAGGCTGGACAGCGTCCTTTGTTAAGTTTCCTGCCCTTTCATGAGCTCTTGGTTGGGAATCTCCTGTGGGCCTTTGAATTGGATCACATTGGATGCACATCAGTAACGTGACCTCTGTGTGGTTGCCATCTCACGTGAATTGGGAAATATGTTCCCCTAGGCTATCAGCCCACCAGGATTTTTCCGGGTGGTCTTAATGGCTAATACACTCCTAAAGTCCAGACGAGGTGCTCTTGATTGATCATGCCATGGTCCTTTCCGCATTAGACCTTAAATCCTGGTTCAACCCTGTTCCCGAACTTACATTCTACACTACACGCGAGTTCACCCCTGTAATTATCTCGGGGTATTTTTTGTTTCCACATTACATTGTGTTCACCCCGGTTTCACCCCACACTTGTCCCGGAATAAACCAGGGATAAATGCAAGGGATTGTGTCGCGAGTTGAACTCATAAAACTAGAGGTGAGATCCAAGTGTGGAAAAAGACCCATATAGGCAATCAGGCTTTAAGGAGTCAGCATGTTTTGGATGGAGTCGCACTTCCCAAAACCAGCAGGATCACAACTTCAGTGTGATGCCAGACTTGTATCTGCAGAAGGAAGCTCAGGTCTCCTCTGTAGCTTGCTGACACCTATAGCCAGTTCCAACAAGGGCGCCAGATGCGGTCTTTTCTTCAAAAGCAGGATTTGGCAACAGTTATCTATGGTGTAATGACACCCAGGTTAAGTTAGTGCAATCTATATAGGGCTGCTTTTGAAGACTAGACAAGTTGAAAACACAGCAGCAGAATTGCTAGCTGGATAACACATCTCAATAATCTTGCTACGCTAGAAAGAACTGCTCTGGCTGCCAGTCTGTTTATAGGTACAATTCAAAGCGTTATTTCTTTAAGGCTCCAGGTGTTAGGAGAACTACCTTGTCCCATACAAATCTGCCTACCAACAGAGATATTTTGCTGATGCTCTGCTCAGTTTGTTTCTCCTTCAGAAATAGGATATTGGCTACCAGACAACAGGGTCTTTATTGTAGAATTTTCCCACTACAATTTGTTAAACTTCAGATGTTCTGCAAAGATGTTCTCAACCCTTTTGATAATGTTGATGAAGTATTATTGTTGTTGCTCTATGATGGTTCTTGTTATTGCTGATGTTCCACAGACTGCACTTTTGCTGATTTGCTCTTGGCTCTTTTGTGAGTCTCGTATGATAATTTTTATGGTGCTTTGGATTTTGCTATTCTCCATTGTATTGCTTTTATGGATATGTGATTTAAACTGTTATGAGCTGGAAATGGCCGCAGAGCAGAAGGCTGTGACTGTTTATTTGCTTTATTGTTTTTTTTAATTATGCCACCTCTCCAGGAAACCTGCCTGAGGTGGATTACAAAATAAAGCATAATAAAGACAGAAAACAGACAGAAAACATTAACCACTATTAAACCACTATTAAATAAAATCCAGGATTTTTTTTAAAAAAAAACCCGAAAATAAAAGCAGTGAACATTCAACAGTTTACTATAATGGTGTTAAACATCAAACAAACAAACAAATTTATTAAGAACAGTCATAAGACCAGCAAAATAAACCAAAATAGTACAACACCGAGTCTACGACATAGAATCCTTGTTGCTAAACATCAGCTCCTTAACTAAAAGCATGGGAGAAGAGAAATGTTTTGGCCTGGCACCAAAAAAAGAGAGCAACATAAGCACCATGCCAGCCTTGCCAGCCTTGATAGGAAGGGCATTCCATAAGTGGGGTGCCACTGCTGAAATAATAATATACTTTATTGTCACTGTACACAGTACAACAAAATTAAGATGCAATCATTCGGTGATCTACAACCATACGCATATACACTCACACAAAAAACTGGCATCCCTGAACACTGTTGTGAATGTGTCTGACCATCTCCAAGGTCTGAAGCATGAGACCCACTAGCCTCCCCCTTTCCAGAGTCTATCTTTGCCCCTCTCAGATCATTAGGTTTTGAGGAAATAGGTGATGGTGAAGAGGGCTCCTGGGAATACCTCGGGCGCAACAGATCCATTTCACATTGC